CAATTTAACCAAATATAGCATTCCAATAATTTTAACATGTGGCCACAATTCCTAAACTAGATAATCCAATTAAAAGTATACAACAATTCCATACCTCAGCTGAGTGGACACATAGTAACTGCAGAAAATATCTGATTACAGATGAAGATTCATACAGCACTATGTGGGAGCTCTGATTACAGAGTGACTCCCCGTGCTACTCTGGAGCTCTTCCTTAAGTATTCCAAACCAAGTGACAGACTGTATCAAAGGTTGTGATTGATTATTTTAGGGCCTGCTCTGATCTTGTGTGTATGTCCTGGAGAACTGTTGATCTTATCAATTCTTAGACCCTCAGCCAATCAAATTGCTTTAGGAGGAATGTGCCAATTCCTTTGTTCTACCAGGTGATAAGATCCTCCACTTTGGTGGGTTTAGTCTTATTTTCTATATTTCTCTTATGTGAAAACATGCCACTTTAAGGTTGAGAGTATTGTGCCCGTCGTACTGTGACCATTCAAACGAGACCAAACATGGGTGTATGTGTCCCTAATGTATACCTCCTGTGTAAATGTGAATTACCGAATGTAGGATGCATCTGTGTCTTGACGCAGCCAGGCCTTGTTGCTGGAATTTGGCTGCGGGGTTCTGGCCGCCCAGTGGGGGTGAGGTGTCCCTTTTGATGTGGTGATCAGGTGATTTGGGTCCAGTCTTGTCGGAGCCGGTGGACCTTTGCTTCAGGACACTGGGTGGAGCATTACAGGCTTGCCAGAGCTCAGACCGACAGGGCCTGATGAACAATGAACCTAAATTAATTAGGCATAGTCAAAGAATTAAAAATCAACAACCAAATTTAAAGATTTAATTCTATTTGATTTGAATTCAGTTAAATTCAGTTTAATTAAAAATTCAGTTTGGTTCAGTTAATTCAATTCAATTCAATTCAGTTCAATCCAATCCAGTCCAGTACAACTTTATTGTCATTATACTATACAAAGGAACACATATAAATAAGAAATGTCTTGTGACTCCTAGAGCTGGTACAGCAAATGTAAGATAACTTTTTCAGAAGTGCACACAGACAGATATACATGTTTTCAGTGCCTTCAGCCCAGTTGGATTCTGTCGTTGGGCCAATGTCTGGACCACCATGACTCAGTCATGCACCACTTTGATCTTACTCATTTTTCAGCAGAAAATCCAGTGACTACCATAATTTCCCCAAGGATGATGATAATGCACAAAGGATATTGAAATTTAATCTGTATTTGTAAGAGGTTTAAGATCAGCTGGAGTGGGTGATAAGGGGTATTTTATTGTAAGCGTCACACTGTGTAGCAGTGAGATCATGAGAAATCCCCAAGGAACCCAGCTTGGGACCTTGGCGGAGTATATATCCTAGCTCCGGAAGTGGGACAGAAATAACCTGTCTGCAGCTGTGATGGTCATCTATGTTAAGTAATAAAAAAATAAACAAAAACATTTGCCTTCCCATGACCTGTCTTTGACTTACCTCAGCAGATCTGCTATGTCAACAGCCTCTACAGTTTTATAGCTAGTGTCATAACTACGACCTAGTGTTGCTCCCTTTAGCAAATTGATATTGATTTGGAAAAAATTACACAGGCACACTTGCTTGGCTATACAGTCAGGAGTTGCTTAACGAGGGGGATATGTTCTGAAAAATGCACTGTTTTACAGTAAACTTTTTTCTAAGTAGAAAGAGTACACTCCAAAATAACAATAAAAAATACAGATACCAAATAAATCAGTAACATATTGGTTTATTATCATTATCATACTATACTTTTATAACACTGGCAGCGCAGTAGGTTTCTTTGCACCAGTATCACCACAAACATGTGCGTAATGCATTGTGCTGTGGCGTTACGATGGCTGTATGCTTCATTACAGCCTTGTTGAACCACGGTTGCATATGTGGTTTGTCGTTGACTGAAACGTTATGTGGCACGTGACTGTAGTAATTAACCTGTACACAAGATTTAATCTAACATGACTCAGATCTGTCTTTTGTCTCCCATCCACATCTGAGTTAAGAGGGTAAAAAATAACCAAGGCCTAAAAAATCCTATGCAGTTGAATGTGACGTCATGTTATCAGTCTTGGAAAATAGAGAGCTGGCTTTCCTTTTGTGTTTGGAAGTAATTACAGGTATATATGTCAAACTACCAAAGATGCTTGGTTCTTTGCACAATCTTACCCAGGAAGTAGCACTATTGCAATATTTTCCCACGCATCATCACGAGATTACAAGAATGGAACTCAAGTTCACAGCAAGTTCCAGCTTAAGACCCAAAGGAATTCAGTGTCTGCTTTCTGTCACTTGACTATGTCATGATTCATATAACCCTGGTTCCATCTGCATAAGGTCACTCTTTAGGGGAATAAATCAGAAAATATATCAGAAAACATACAGCACTGTGCATACATCTTTGGTAATCAAAGAAAATGTTTAAAGCTGTTTTTCTGGGTAGTAAGTGCATATTTGCTCAGACCATACTATGCAAATGAAGAGTTACAATAAAAACAAGCAATAATTTTTTGCATTCTTCAAAAAGTTACTGGTATCCTGCTGGATTGGCTAGATGTACACCGCTCCATGTATGCAGTACATTTCACCACAAAGTCAATTAAATGTATTACTTTTAAAAAGTGAATGAGGTATTGATTAGCTATATGGGATGTGCTAAAAGTGGTCAAGTAAAAAAAAACAAAACATCGTATGAAACGCTTGCTGTACTGACTTTAGAAGAGGTTTAGAAATGGCTGAGCTAACAAACTTTGACACACATATCATTTATAGCAACATGAAGGTTGTTTAAATATCATTTTCTTTGACTGCCTACAACTTTTGCACAGTACTGTATATATTTCAAAAATAAGGGAAACACAAAATAAATTTTGTTTTTTTCAGTCCAACTTCACCAAGGGTACAACCGAGATTTCACTGACACCAGTTCTCAATAATTTTAATACTTCAGAACATAGTGAGTATTTTTCAGTATTTTTCAACTTCCTCAATATGGTGATGAATGACTCACAAAATAACTTGTTCTCATTAATGCGAGGCAAAAAATACCTTTACCTATGTTATTATTATTTACCTTTACTTAACCAGGCAAGACAGATTAAGAACAAGTTTCTTATTTACAACTGTGGCCTGTGATAAATGAAAATTTATTTAAGACCTTATGGTGTACTTAAGTATGAAGTCACACCTATGAAGTCAGTAGACAGACTGGGAGAGCATGGGGGGGTCATGAGGTCGCTGGAAAGGGGTGTGTGGTGAACTGGATATCAATGTAAGATCCAAGGTCCGAGTCTTTAGAGTCCTGCTGCTCCCTGTCTTGCTGTATGGCTGTGAGACATGGACGCTGTCCAGTGAGCTGATATGAAGACTGGACTCCTTTGGTACTGTGTCTCTTCGGAGAATCCTTGGGTATCGCTGATTTGGCTTTGTGTCGAATGAGTGGTTACTAGAGGAGTCCAGAAAGAGGCACATTACCTGCATTGTGAGGGAGCGTCAGTTATGGCATTACGGCCATGTGGCGTGTTTCCCTGAGGGTGATCCGGCTCACAGGATCCTCAACGCTGAGGACCCGAGCAGCTGGACCAGGCCAAGGGGACGCCCACGTAACACCTGGCTGCGGCAGATGGATGGCCATTTCCGGAGGATGGGACTGGACCATGTGTTGGCTTGGGGGGGTCGCCAACCGGGATTCTGAGGTATCTTGTTGTGTGGTGGGTGCGGCAACACTCTGTACCAGGGCAGACTCCCCTACCAGAGCTGGGTAATTCAGGTCAAGAGAGTAAAAGTCCGGACCAAAGTTTTGTTTCGGCCAACCATTTGAGTATA